AGCCTCGTGGCAGCGAAGCAGGCGACGGTGCGTGTGCTGCCGCTTTTGTTGCTGTTCCTACTGCTGCTCCTGCTGCTGCAGCTGCTGCTGCAGCTTGAGACTGCAGCAGCAGCAATAATGGAGGGTGCATTTGAACGGCAAATGGGTCTGGGGGGATTGGCGCAGCAGCAGGCTGCGCTGCTGCTGTGCCCTGCTGCTGCCCTCAGCAGCAGCGCAGCTGCAGGCTGCAGCAGCGAGTGCTGCTTTTACTTTTTCCTTTTATTTCTTTTTCACACTTTTTCTCTTGTCTCTGCTTGCTGCGCGCTGCTTTGCGACGCTCTTTTCCCTTCCGCTGCTGCTGCTGCTGTTGCTGCTGCTACTGCTGCTGCTGCTGCTGCTGTCTTTTGTTTTCAGAGCTCATTCGGGACCTGCAGAGCTTCAAGTCCAGTAAGTGTTTTGCATTTGGGCCAAAGTTTGTTTTGGCTGTTTCTCCTGCCATTTATTTTATTTATTTTTCTTCTAATTACGTTTTCAATTTCAATTAAATTTCTTCTTTTTGCTGCTGCCGCTGCGTATGGCTTTGCTGGCAGCAGCAGCAGCAAAAGCTGCTGCTGCTGCTGCTGCGGCTGCTGCTGCTGCTGCGCTGCTGCCACAGCAGCAGCTGCAACCCCAAAAAGGCTAGTTGCTTATTCAATGCATGCAGCAGCACTTGTAGCATTTTGCTGCTGGGCTGCGCATGCAGGGCTGCACTCCCAAAGTTCTCGAATTCGTCTTCACCAAATTCAGTCTCCTGCCTATTCGCGGAGCCTTTCCCGCAGCAGCAGCAGCAGCAGCAGCAGCAGCAACGGCAGCGAGGCCAGCAGCAGCAGCGGCAGCAGCAGCCGCGCACTGAGCAATGAAACTGACGGCGATGCCTTCACTCATGTGACCAGCTGGTTTCGCCTGGGCTCGAGGCTGCAGAGAGAAGACCCCACAGCAGCAGCAGCAGCAGCAGCAGCAGCAGCAGCAGCAGATAATGGAGCTGTTGGGAGACAGAACTCGAGCTGCAGCAGACAGCTGCGGCGGCTGACGCCGCAAGACCGAATCGCCCGCAGGCCCAGAGTCCAGTCTCACCAGGAGACCTTCACTGCAGCAGCAGCAGCAGCAGCAGCAGGAGCAGCAGGAGCAGCAGGAGCAGCAGCAGGGGCTCCTGGCAGCTTCCAGACCGGGCTGCACCCCCACAGCAAAAGGGCGCTGCAGCAGCAGCGCAGGAACACCATCAGCGACGGTGGGGCTTTTAGGAAACAAATAAGCGTTTGTGTGGGGTTTAGAGTTTAGAGTTCAAGGTTTTGGGTTTAGGGTTTAGGGTTTAGGGTTTTCCCGCTGCTGCATTAGTGCCCTTCCTCCGGCGCTCCGGCCACTTGCGCTCTGGGCTGTTATTTATTTGTCTCTATTCAGTTTAAATTGTTTACTGTTCTGTTGGGTTTTATTTATTTCTTTATTTATTTGTTCATTTATTTTATTTTTTCATTTGTTTGCCTATTCATCCTTTATTTCTTATTTCTAAATGTTTGGTTCTGTCGTTCTACCTTTCTTTTGTTTCAACTTTCTAATTTCTTTCTCCTTTTTGTTCTTTCGTTAATCCTTTTTCTAATTTCCTTCTTTTTATTCCTTTTGCTTCATTTTTCATTTCATCTGTTTAATTTCATTTGTTTCGTCTTTTTAATTTCATTTCTTTTATTTCATCATTTTATTTCGCTTTCTTTCTTCTTTTATCTTTTTATTCATTTTTTAATTTCATTATTTCAAAGATATATTTATGTCTTTATCTTCAAATTCGTCTCATTCACTTCATCTTTTTGAATTCTTTTTTGTAATGAAATTTGAACTTTGATTTCTTCTTTTCGATTTCATACTATTTGATTTATTTTTAATTTCCTTTTTAATTTTTATTCATTTTATTTTTTTGAATTATCCTTTTGAATTAAATCTTTTAATTACGCCCCAATTTTCACCTTTCTAATTTTATTGTTCAATTTCCTTTTTGAATTCAATCCAACTTCACCGGATTCATTTAATCTATTTTATTATTTATTTATTTATTAATTTAATTTAATTTAATTTGATTCACTTTACTTTACTTTAATTTAATTTAATTTAATTTCTGATTTATTTCAGAATACTTCAAAGCTGCAGAAGTTCCTTCTGGCTTTTCTTCAGTTTGCGGCGAAACCCATAAAGCGGTTTTGCAGCTTCAAGTGAGAAAAAGATTTTTAATTTTTGTTTGTTTCTGTTTTAATTTCCTTTTCTTTTATTTTTCTTCTATTTTTCTTTTATTTTGCTTTTATTTTTCGCTTTTCCTCTTTTATTTTTCCTCTTGTCCTCTTGTTTTGTCTCTTTTATTTTCTTCCATTTCTTTTATTTTATTTTCTCTTATTATCTTTCATTTCTTTTATTTTCTTTCGTTTCTTTCATTTTTTTTCTCTCTTTTATTATCGTTTTTTGGTCCCTTTTCTTTTGCTTCCTTGTTCCCTTTTCTTTTTATTCTTTCTTTTATTATTATTCTGTCCTTTATTACTGTTGTTTCTCCTTCACAGCTGATTATTGTTGTTTCTCTTTTATAATTATTTTGTCTCTTTTATTACTCTTAAATCACTTTTATGTTTCTTTCTCGCTTTTTATCTCCCTGTTTGTTCTGTATCGCCGCATTTGTGCAGGAAATTACAATTTGCAAAAATATATATTTAATCATAAATAGAAATTAATTCAAATAGACTTCTCCCCGCGCTTTTCATTTGCATGCGCTCTGTACGCCCCCGATCTGCTGCTGCTGCTGCTGCTGCTGCTTCCGCTGCTGCAGTCGATAAATGCAGTCAAGGAGGAGCAGAAGATCCCGCGGCGTTATGACTTTCAGCTGCAAGTGAGTTGCTGCTTCATTTCTGTCTTTTTCTTTTTCTTTTTCTTTTTTAATTTATTTTACTCTTACTCTGTCTCTTTCACTATATGAACATTTAAAATTATGTACAAACATATATTTATATATTCTACGCCTTCAAATTTATTTATATATATTCACATTATTTATATTTACGGATCTTTATATTTATGAATATTTATATTTATATTTGCATGCAAATATGTACTGTCAAGTTAATTAAATGCCAAAATGCATATCTATTCAAATGAATTTGTTTGTGTTTTTTAAAGATCCGCATGCATGCAGTCACCGGCAATGAGACTGTCTTTTTGGATTTGTTGTCTTCTAAGTGCTTGATGCTGCTGCTGCTGCCCGTTGCTGCTGTTGCTGCTGCGTCTGCTGCTGCTGCTGCTGCTGCCTTCCCTTGCTGGCTGCTGGGCGCGAAGAGCTGGCAGACGTTTAGCTAGCTGCTGCCTTTTTGCTGCTCGTTTCTGCTGCTGATTGTGTCTACCCCTCACCTGCTGCTGCTGCGTCTGCTGCTGCTGCATACACTGCGGCAGCACCTGCTGCTGCTGCGCCTGCTGCTGCTGCCCTTTCGCTCACGCGCGTGCTGCAGCAGCAGCTGCTGCTGCTGCGTTGCTGCATGCTGCTTCTCAGGAGGACACGGCGGAGCACTATTTGTCTTCTTTGGCTTTGCTGAACAGCCACTTCAATTATTTCAAACTCAAAGATGTGGCTTTTTTCATATTGAAATGTCTCTCCGGCAAGAACCCCCTTATGTCCTACACAGGTCAGCTCCCAGCTAGCTAGCTAGCTGCCTAGCTAGCTACCTCGCTAGCTGCCCAGCTAGCTGCACTCGAGCTACCTGGCTAGCTGGGCATCTAGCTGCGCAGCTAGCTACGCAGCTAGCTGCGCAGATAGCTGCGGAGCTCGCTACACAGCTGGATAGGCAGCTGGCTAGGCAGTAAGCTACGCAGCTAGCTACGCAGCTAGCCACGCAGCTAGCTAGCTAGCTCGCTTTGCACAGCTAGCTGCTGCTTACATGCTGCTTCTGGCCGCCGCAGGCCCCCCCATGATTTTGCCTAGCGCCGGGTGGCTCTTAGCCCATAGCTAGCTAGCTAGCCAAGCGGCTAGCTAGCTAGCTAGCTAGGTGGATAGCTAGATAAATGGCTAGGTAGATAACTAGATAAATAGCTGGGCAGCTAGCTACAGTTGGCTAGCCAACTCGCCAGCTCGCTGGTTGCTAAGTATGCAGGGCTAGCTAGCTGGCTAGCTCGCTATCCCGTTGCTGCTGGGGCTCTCGGGTGCTCGCGCATGCCATTGCTGCTGCTGCTTCTGCTGCTGTTGCTGCTGCTGCTGATGCTGCTGCTGCTGCCTGCAGACCATCTGCAGCTGCTGGAGGCTGCTGCTAGGAAGGCGGCGGATCACGCGGCGAAGGAAGGCAAGGAACACTGCTGTCTCTTTCTGCCCGAAATGTTCACGCTGTTTGCTGCTGCTGTTGCTGCCGCTGCTGCTGCTGCTGCTGCTGCTGCTGCGGCTGTTGTGTATCTTCTTTTCCCCCTCAGAGTTTCGTTGCTCTTTCGCTGTTGTAGCTTTTTGTGGCTTTGCTTTTGCGTTCTTTTGTGCTTTCATTCGCTGCCTGCATTTGGCCTTTGGGGTTTTGCTGCTGCTCCTTTGCTGCTTCTTGTTTGGCTGCTGCTGCCCCGCTGCTGGCAGCTGCATCACGGGGCCTTGGCAGCCACCTCCGTTGAAAAGGGAACAAACCACTGCCTGCTGTTGCTGCTGCTGCTGCTGCTGCTCATGCTGCTGCTGCTGCTGCTGCTGCTGCTGCGCATCAGGCCGCCCGGAGGAGCAGCAGCGGCAGCTGGAAGAAGCAGCTGCCCTTGCGGAGAGGCTGAAGGCCTTCGAAGCTTCTCTTCTTCAGCCCCGTTCAAAAAAAAAATAAAAAATAAATAACAAATAAATAAATAAATAAATAAATAAATATTAAATAAAAGACAACTCAAACTTTTCAGCTGGCGGCCTCCCCGCGGCTGCAGCACCAATGAGACCCCACACTGAAGAGCGGCTGCTGCTGCTGCTGCTGGTGCCGCTGCTGCTGCTGCCGCTGCTGCAGCTGGGCAGATGAGGCGCAGGGCAGCGGCTGTTTGCTTGAAGGCTGTGCGCCCCTTCAGCTATTTGTCATATTGTCAATTGCTACATTGCCTTGCTAGCGGTCTGGCTAGCTAGTTGGCAGCTAGCTGGCAGCTAGCTAGCAGCTAGCTGGCGGCTAGCTAGCAGCTAGCTGGCAGCTAGCTGGCTAGCTAACAGCTGGGCACACCGCTAGCCAGGCGCCTCGCTAGCTAGTTGTTTGGCTAGCTAGCTGAGCAATCCGGGGCAGCAGAGGGAACTCTTTTTGCGATTTGTTTGCTACTTAGCTAGCTGGCCACCGGGCTGGCTAGTTGCGCAAATGGCTACTGGCTAGCTGGCAGCAAACTAGCTGGCCTAGCTGCGCGCTAGCTAAAGAGGCTGCGCTAGCTATCTAGGCCGCGCTGGCTAGCTGCGCCGCGCTGGCTAGCTAGGCCGCTCTGGCTAGCTGCGCCGCGCTGGCTAGCTGGGCCGCGCTGGCTAGCTGGGCTGCAGTGGCTCGTTGGGCAGCTGCTGCTGGCCCCACAGCAGCAGCAGCGGCGCCGCAAGCAGCAGCAGCAGACTGTACGTGCAGCAAAAGAGGCCCTGAAGACCCTTTTGCTGCCAGTTTTGTGGGAATTGAATTCAGTGGAACTTTAAGTTGTCTCGATTCAAATAAAATTCCCCATTTGGGACTTTTTGCGCCTTCAAAAAGTCCCAATTGAATTCATTTCAGAAAACCCACAGGCCCAGGTGTACAGACACCCCAGCCCTGCGGCCCCCAGCTGCAGCTCGGGTGTACCTCCACCTACTAGTGCAATAAATATGTTTATATTTTGTATATTTTACATCATTTATTTATTATAACATAATATATATTCTATTATGTTCACACGTTATCTATATATTTGGTATTTACATACGAATATGTAATATTGTATATATATTTGTATATATATATTTATATATGTATATTTATATGTGTGTGTATATATGCAAATGGGAGGTGGGTATAAGTCATATCATAAAATCAAGTTTTATTTTTTTGCATTTATTTGATGTTTTTTAAATGGCAATTGAGGCCTCAGCTGAAGACAGAGTGGAGCCCACGGGTTGCTGCTGCGTGGGCCGCCTGCTGCTGTTGCTGCTGCTGCTGTCGCTGCTGCTGCTGCTGCTGCTGCTGCTGCCTGCGTGGCGACTTGCTATTAAATAATTTCAAGGAAGCAAATGATCCAAGGCGGCAGCGCATGAGCTGCGCCACAGAACTGGCTGGAGATAATTTGAATAAATAAATTTTAAATTAAATTAAATTTAATTTAATTTAATTCAATTAAAAATTTTGAAATTGAGCCGTTGTGGGGTAAAATTCACAAAGATATGGAAGCCAACAGCC